TAGTCTCCCCATTCTACCAGGCCTTATAATAAACTTATAGTCAATATGTGTGTCTCAATATTTCTCTTTTCTTCTTTTTAAACAAAACAATAACACCACTATTGCCTGAACACAGCCATGTCCCACCAAGTTGGTAACGGACTAAAGCTCTGAAAACTGTAAGCCAGCCTCAATTATGATCTTCTTTATAAGAATTGTATGGTCATCACAGCAATAAAATCCTAACTAAGACAGTAGTTGGTACCAGGAACTGGGGTATTGTTGGGATAGGCCTGGGTATGTTTTTGTTTGAAGGAATGTGGACTTTGGGAGTTTGGATTAGAAAAGCGGCTGAATGCTTTAAGTGGAGCTGAATGGGCTGTACTAGCTAGAACATTGAAGACAGTTGTGCTAAGGGTGATTTGAACTGTGGAGCCCTGGCTCAAGAGGTTTCAGAGGAGAATTTTAGTATGTGGCCTAGAGACTAGTTTTGTAATATTCAGGATGAGAATGTGGCTGCTTTTGCCCTTGTCCTCAAAGTCTGTCTGAGACAAAAGTGAAGAGTTTTGGATTAATTGCATTGGAAAAGAATCTTAAGACAGTCTAGTGGTTACTATTGTTGGTGTCTTGTGGTTACTACTGTTGAAGATTTAAAGGAGCAAGCTGAACAAGAAAAATTAAAAAATGTACTGACTGAGGAAAAAAGCAGCACCAAGAAGTGGAATGGAGTTAAATTTTATGTTCTAGGAGATAAGCATTAAAGAACAACATACGGAATAAAGGGAGTGATGACCTCAGGCAAGAACCCACCCAGCTAAACTTCCCACCTGTGAAAAGGAACTAAAGAAAAGCTAAGAGCAGGGTGTGGTAGTGCATGCCTTTAATCCCAACACTCAGAAAACAGGCTGGACAATCTCTAAATTCAAGGTCAGCCCAGTCTACAGAGTGGGTTCTAAGACAGCCAACTTTAGGCAGTGAAGGAAACCAAAGAAAACAGAAGCTAATGAAAATACAATTGAACGAAGGGGACATGTTTCAGTCCTACAAAGCAGCAGAACTTGGCTGCCAAGGCAAGAGGTTCTAGCTTTAGAGTCAAGGCTGGAAAAAAGGGATTATGACTAAGGAAAGCTGCTGAGGCCAGGCATGTGACAGGGGTATCCCTGTCTGGAGGGCTACAGAGGCCAAGTGTAAAGCTGTGAAGGTGAAACTCTGAATTGTCCTGGAGACCCCAAAAGGCTGGAGATGCCACAGCCATGGGACACCTGTTATGATATGATATGCGGCTCGAGGGGAACCCTAGAGTACGCATCCCATGGTGGGTGAGAGACAAATACAGCATGCAGGCAGAACCTACATGG